ACACACACACACACACACACACACACACACACACACACACACACACACACACACACATGCACACGCACACAAATATACACACAGACATGCATGCAAAAATACACACATGCACATAAATGCACAAACACAAACACACACACACATACACAAACATGCACACAAACACAAAGAAACACAAATACACAAAAACACATGCACACAAACAAAACAACAAACACACACACAGATAAAAACAAACATGCTCATACATATAAAAAACACACACAAACATGCACATACACAAAATCACAAATACACACACACAAACAAAAACAAACATGCACTCACATACAACACACAAAACACAAATACACACACACAAACAAGTACGCACACACATACAAATAAAAAATATACCCACACAAGACACAAACGTTTACACACAAACACACAAACAAAACACAAAAATACACACACACACACAAAAATACACACACACACACACAAACAAACACGCACACACATACAAAACACAAAAATACACACACACACACACACACACACACACACACAAACACATACACACACACACACACACACACACACATACAAATATTCACACACAAACAAAAACACATACACACACACACAGACACACACACACACATACACACCTCATATTAGTCTGGATAACAGCCACATGTGTATGTGTGCGCGTGTGTGAAGCGCTGTTCACCTGGTCGTCCGACACCTGCTCCAGGTACAGGTGTGTGTTGTTGATCAGCTGCAGACGTGTGTATCCGTAATCTGTGCTTCTGAACGCGCTCCAGTCGCGAGGTTTCGGGATGAAGCCGTCGTGTTTCTCTCGACATCCCTGACAAAACAAACACACACACACACACACACACTACATAAACACACTCCATCCCATAATGCACTGCACTCAACATGACCTTTAAGTTCCAGTCTGATTTGCATAATATAATGTAATGCTCTATTCTGATTGGCTGATGAGTAGTGTAAGGTGTGCCGATATTTTATCGTGAACACACACCTGAACTAATCTTTAATTTATTGTTATACACTGCTGAATGCTGGATTCTGATTGGCTGATGGTCACTCTCAGGTGTTTGGTTATTGTCAGATAAAGGCACAGCTAAAGTAGTTCCGGCAGGTTTAGAGTAGCTCCATATCACTCTGGTGAATGGTTACAGTTATTACACAGATACAACGGTCGGAAATCACAACAGGAGGAGGAGATGAGGAGGACACTAGTGCTGCTCCTCCGTCATACAGTGGTAAATAAAACAGTCGTCATGCCAACTTTCCACTATAAACTGTAGAACGGTCGCCCCGCCTCCATGCTCTTCTGATTGGTGCACTGCTGTGTGACTGACAGTAATGAGCTGTGCTGTGTGTGACAGTTCAAGACCTTTTAACTCGACACAGCATCTAAAACATGAGACGCTCATGTGCGCAGTGCTTCAAAACACACACAGACAGTCAAATGCATCCAAGTGTGTGTTTACACTGAAAAACTCAATTAAAGTAGTGGACTGCAGAGGAAAAATGTGAACGTGTGTGTGTGTATGTGTGTGTGTGTGTGTGTGTGAACGGCCTACTAGTGTTGTGTTTTACTCACAGCTGAACCGGTGATGATGTGCACTGGTGCTTTAGGGTTCACATACGGCTCTTCAGAGCTCCCGTTAAACACCTGTAACACACACACACACACACACACACACACACACACACACACACACACACACACACACATCATATCAGACAGAGTAAGCACAGTCTGCTTCAGAAACTCTTCAGAAGTGATTTGCAGGACTCACCTTGTAATCATACACAGGCCAGAGTCTCTCATATGTGTGTTCATGAGCCCAGAGCTCCAGATCCACTCCTGAAACACACACACACACACACACACACACACACACACATACACACACACACACACACACACGCACGCACACCCACATAAGCATGCACACGCACACGCACACACACACACACACGGACACAGACACAGACACACGCGCACACACACAAATATCCACATGCACACAAACACACATTCAAACAAACACATGAGCATATACACATGCATGCACGCACACACACACACACACACGCACGCACGCACACAAATTCAAACAAACATGAGCACACACATGCGCACACACAAAGGCACACACACATACATGCACATGCATACATACGCACACACACACGCACACAAATTCAAACAAACACATGAGCACACACATGCGCACACACAAAGGCACACACACACGCGCACACATACACATAAGCGCGAACACACACACACACACACACACGCACACAAATTCAAACAAACACGAGCACATACACATGCGCGCACACACACACACACACACGAGCGCGCACAAATTCCAACAAACACATGAGCACATACATCAATGCCACACATAAAGGCGCACACACATACGCGCACACATAGAATACACAAACGCGCGCGCGCACACACACATAAGCATGCATGCACACATATCCACGCATGCACACAAATTCAAACAAACCCATGAGCACATGCACATGCACACACACACACAGAAATAAAATCAATGTTTTTTGATAGTTTGGATTACATGATTACAATATAGATCATAGTAAAACAAGTTCAGTGTGTGTGATCAGAATATAGATATTAATAGTTATATTCATATTAATATAGTTCAAGTTCAATTTATGTATGTATAAAGCACGTTTCCAACTGGCACAAGGCTGCACAGAGAAAAAAATAAACAAACGATAATAGTATAAAACCAGTAACAGCAATAGGAACATAATAGGAAAGAACAAAAAAGGGTAACAATAAAAAATGTTTGGTGTGTGTAAGTGTAAGTTTGTGTGTATGTGTGTGTGTGTGTGTGTTGCAGAACGTTTCTGACTCAATGATTTTAAAGGCAGGGGTTGAAAAGAAACTGATTAAGCTCAATATAGTGTTATTGAAATATTATTATGGAGTAATAATCAACAGAGCGGCTCTCACCGTACTGATAGAATAACTCCTCCAGTCCAGGAGCAGGAGGCTTGGTGTCGTTGCGTCCGAGTCGCACCTGAAGCAGAACAGCAGATCAGTCAATGTTTATTTTAATACCACATATTATCAGCCTGAAAGTGAACGAGTAATCCGGGTAATACGTTAATTATCTGAAAGAAATTGTTTTGTTCATCTTCAATCAAAATCTAATTCTGCTCTTGTTTTACTCTGATGACTTTGATTGGGCGAAATATGTTTAGCCACGCCCCTTCAATTTTTAGTGAAAGGCGAGAGGAGGGGCTTAAATAAATCCCGCCCCTACTCAACAGCCAGTTTCGGTTGTAAATACATCAATATGCTTAAATAAAAAGCGGCAGCAGCTTCCTGTTTACATGGATTATAAATCTGAATGTTTAGATCCAGGCTTCTTTTAAAATCAAAATGTTAATAACACAATTAAAACTTGAAATGTAAAAATAATTAGGATTAGTATTAATAAAATCTTTCTAAACTACATCATCTGAAATGTAAGGATCGTTATGTTTGTAAAAGCTGGTTTCACTCAGCTGTGATTGGGGAAAGTATGTTTAGCCAGGGCTGGATTAACCAATCAGCATTATGGGCACAAGCTCAGGGGCCCGTGCGCACTTCGGGCCCCTGCGAGGGGGGAAAAAATGCCGATTTTGGAGCATCTATTTAGGCTAAGTGCAAAAGCACACCTGGTTGGAATAAGCTAGTTGAGTGATTCCCAGCCATCAGGGTTTGATTGACAGATACAACATTAGTAAAGAGCGCAACTAACAGCAGTGGGAGTGACGTAGTTCGCACAGCGCATGGCAACATGTTTTGATGCGATCGATCATGAACCCGGTTCGAATACACCGTCTATTGCACACGTACTTCTTTTTTTACCCATTACATATCAGATTTTGCCTTCTCTTCATCACGAGGAAGACAAGTAGGAATCATTAATAAGTGTGTGTATTATAGAACAGGGGTTTTCAAACTGTGGGCCGCACAGTGAACAAAGGTGGGTCGCGCAACTTCACATAGCTGCAGCTATATTTACATTGTGGTGAATCAAAACCTGTACGATAGACGGCAATAACTCAAAAACCTCTTACCCTAAAAAGATCTAAAGTGTGTTTCCTACAAAAAACCAAAGCTGGTTCTGTTTCACAGCGGCCTTTTTCTTTTTTTCCGGTCGACATTATGAGCACTGCTCCGTTTGAGCTCTCGCAATCTGCGTTTAGCCGGGAGAGCTCGCGCTGAGCAGAGCTCTCAGTAAGGGACCGACGGGAAAGTGCTTATTTTTTTAGTTTTTTTTTTCCGTCCTGCGTGTTTTATTTTAAAGACTACTAATTTTCTCTTAAATGAGCACAAACAGTTACTAAAGTAGTGGAGTGCTTCATTATAGATCTGTGCATTCTTACATGAACACCTCTAATATCAAGCAAAACACAATGAGAGATTGATCTGCTGCTCTTCACTAAATAACTACAGTAACTTTAATCAATATGCAAATACAATTAAAAGTGAAACAGATTTTACAGCTTTATTTATTTCTGTATAGGCCATCGATTTTAATAGTCTAAACCTCTTATTGTATTGTCAATATTTTCTAATGTTTGCTATGTATTGAAGCTATGTGTTGTCCCATATTTTTTTTACATCTCAGCGTTGACAGATTGCTAATCAATAAATATCTATAGTGCTGTCTGTTAGTGTTAACGTCAGAAACGTCAGAATAGATGTTAAGGAAAATAGTAATAGTAATGTAACTAACCCCATCATTCCTTCCTCCAGCAAATGTGTAAATATTAGATCTATTCAGCATTAATGTTAACTGCATTGGCATTTTTATCTGACGTTTTCCAGCTTTTAGTAGTCGATCAAAAAGCCGTTTAGTTTCTGATGACTGCACCAGCAGTGGAGTTTACTGAGATGTGACGGGGCTTGATCATCATCCAGGGTCTTGATCAAAGGTTGATCATATTCTCCTCTAAATAAGGAAGTGGATCTTCATCAACAAAAAAATGATCAGAGTTACAGTCAGCATCCCACAAACAGCACTTCAGCCTCATTATGTGCATATCAAATCCCAAAATCCAAACAGCCGCTCACCATATATTCTTGACTGACTTGAATGGAGACATTTTTTTACCCAGTTTTCCATATTAAAATATTACAGGGGGTCTTGAGATTGAATTACTTGCCTAGGTGGGTCCCGGAATTAAAAAGTTTGGGAATCCCTGTTATAGAAGACTCAGATTCATAGAGCTGGACAGTTGTTATATCCAAATTAAAGTTTGTAGAAGTTATACATTAAAAATACCCTTAAATATACATTTTTAGTACTGCTTCTGTGAAGTTGAAAAAGTATATTAAAATCCATTCATTTTCACTAGTTTTATCAGTATTTTTTTTCAGTGTGCTTTAAATGCTTCATAAAAAGTTACATCTTTTATAGACTATATATGTACTGATGTACTGTATATCATTTATTTAAAAAATGCAGGCAATACATTATAGATTCATTTTATTAGAAATATTATTATATTAATCTAACTTTTTAATTCAACTATAGGGGTGTAGCCAAATAGGGGGCCTATAAGACATTGTGCCTCGGAATTCTTAATCCGGGCCTGTGCTTAGCTAATAAAAGATGAGCAGGAGCTTTAAAAAAAACCCTCGCCCCAACTTAATATTCAGTTTCAGTTGTAAATGCATCATCAAACATAAATAAAAGCCTGCAGCAAATTCAGATTCAAATGTTGAACTATAATTAATAATTATATTGTGTGTTTATTAAAATATTTACACACAGAATACTATTTACACTGACTTTCACTTAGTTTTCAATGAGAGTACAGCTAGTGTTGTGAGTTTAAACCTGCAGCAGAGAGTGAATCACTCATTTGAATCATCCTGCATTTGACTCCTCAGACTGAGATAAGCAGACTCTTGTTTTTATCCTATCCTGTAACTTTTCTCCTATAGTTCAGGTGTTACTCAGACATACATAGCTTTGGAAGTGAGTGCAGTCGTCATCATCGTCATTAGAGCAGTACATGGGTCTGTGTCCCATCGTGATGATCCACGGACGCTCAGCTCGATTCTCTGGACGATTCGCCTCCTGACAAAATCACAATACTGTTACCATAGCAACTGTAGAACCACCACAACAGATTAACTATGAAAAGTGTCGTGTTACCATAGCAACTGTTGAATCACATAAACAGATCAATTATTATAGTAGTCTTGTTACCATGGAAACAGCATAATAACAACAAGTCAGTTACTTTAGTTGTTGTGTTACCATAGCAACTGTAGAATCACCACAACAAATCAATTACTATAGTTGCGGTGTTACCATAGCAACTGTATAATCACCGCAACAGATCAAATACTTTAGCAGTTGTGCTACCATGGCAACTGTAAAATGAGCACAACAGATTAATTATAGTTGTCGTGTTGCCATAGTAACTGTATAATTACCACAACAGGTCAATTACTATAGTTGTCATGCTACCATAGCAACTGTAGAATCACCACACCAAATCAACTGTTATAATTGTCATGTAACCATAGCAACTTTAGAATCACAGCAGATAAACTATTATAATTATCGTGTAACCATAGCAACTGTAGAATCACCACACCAAATCAACTATTATGATTGTCGTGTAACCATAGCAACTTTAGAATCGCAGCAGATCAACTATTATAATTATCGTGTAACCGTAGCAACTGAAGAATCACCCAATAGGTCAATTACTTTAGTTGTTATGCTACCATAGCAACTGTAGAATTATCACGACAGATCAATTACTATTATGGTCGTGTTACCATAGCAACTGTGGAATCACCACAACAGATTAATTACAATAGTAGTCGAATCACAATAGAGTCACGACAACCGAATTCTTCAAGTACTTACTCAGGTACTGTGGTGTGGTTCAAAAACACTAAATTGCTGTAGTGTTATCTATTGTTTGGTCACCTGTAGATCTGCGCGCAGCCACTCGTACTGTCTGAAGAGCAGATCCAGGCCGTATTCCAGATAATAGAAATAGACCTCAGTGGAGAAGGAGATGATGTGAGCCGGACCCACGTTCCAGCTGCGCACAAACACACACATATAAACATCAGAGAGTGTGTTTCTTCAATTACTGAGGAGAGAAATACTGCACACGTCTGCTGCTACTCTCGGCTCAGATAAACCCGCTGTAGACCACACACAATCAGCTCATTCATACAGTTTATGCCCAGTAACACTGTCTTTTAACTGTTCATCAGGCATATATGGTGACTTCATTGACACTAAAACAATATCTATATATTTTTAAGTCGTAAAAGTTCAAAAGAGTTGTAATAAACCCCAGTTACACTCCAGGGTTTATTAAACTATTAAATAATGATTAAATAAGGACCTATACATTTAAAACCAAACAAACTATCTCCAACAAGATTTTCAAACTTTAATACGTAGTTGTTCGAGTTATTTTCCTATTTCAAAGCTGTTTTGAAAGTTGAATAAAGTAATATGGAAATAAAGGAGTGTGACTTAAATCTGGTTTCCAACATTTAAAATTTGAAATCCTAATACAACTACAAGGAAATAACCTAATGTGCAGTATATATGCTCACTGGCCACTTTATTAGGTACACTTTACTGGTACTTAGTTTGACCCCTTTTGCCTTCAGAACGGCCTTAATCTTTCATAGATTCAACAAGCTACTGGAAATATTCCTCAGATATTTTGCTCCATATTGACATGATTTGGGGTGTGGGGGCTTAGGGGCGTGGCTAAGCAGATTTTTCGGCTGCACATCCATGATGCCAATCTCCCGTTCCACCACATCCCAAAGCTGCTCTACTGGATTGAGCTCTGGTGACTGTGGAGGCCATTTGAGTACAGTGAACTCATCGTCATGTTCACCAGTCTGAGATGATTGAGCCTTATGACATGCTGCGTTATCCTGCTGGAAGTAGCCATCAGAAGATGGAGACACTGTGCTCATAAAGGGATGGACATGGTCAGCAGCAATACTCAGGTAGGCTGTGGCGTTGATGCTCAATTGGTACTAATGGACCCAAAGAAAATCTCCCCCACACCATTACACCACCACCACCAGCCTGAACCGCTGATACAAGGCAGGATGATCCATGCTTTCATGTTGTTGAGGCCAAATTGTGAGCCGAGCATCTGAATGTGTCAGCAGAAATGGAGACTCATCAGAGCAGCAACGTTTCTCCAATCTTCTATTGTCCAGTTTTGGTGAGTCTGTGTGAATTGTAGCCTCAGTTTCCTGTTCTTAGCTGACAGGAGCGGCACCCGGTGTGCTCTTCTGCTGCTGTAGCCCATCCGCCTCAAGGTTGGAGGTGTTGTGTGTTCAGAGATGCTCTTCTGCAGAGCTCGGTTGTAACGAGTGCTTATTTGAGTTACTGTTGCCTTTCTATCAGCTGGAACCAGTCTGGCCATTCTCCTCTGACCTCTGGCCTCATCAACAAGGCATTTGCGCCCACAGAACTGCCGCTCACTAGATATTTCCTCTGTCTCGGAGCATTCTCTGTAAACCCTAGAGATGGTTGTGCGTGAAAATCCCAGTAGATCAACAGTTTCTGAAATACTCAGAAATACCACGTTCAAAGTCTCTTAAATCCCCTTTCTTCCCCATTCTGATGCTCGCTTTGAACTGCAGCAGATTGTCTCGATCATGTCTACATGCCTAAATGCAGTGAGCTGCTGCCATGTGATTGGCGGAGTAGATATTTGCGTTAGAGCAGTTGGACAGATGTACCTAATAAAGTGGCCAGTGAGTGTACAAAGGAAAAACTTTGATTAAATAATTATAATTACTAAATATATAATACAAGTTTAAACAAAAGTATGAATTAGCATAACTTAATAAATGTTAATTTATTAAAGTAATTTTTAAAATGGGTCAAAGATAATGAACAATTTTCAAAGCCTGTGATGCATTTTCATATATCATCCTAAATTTAGCTCATAAAAATGCACAAGTAAAAATTATCATATTACTTCATTATTTTTTTATTTTATTAAATTAATTTTAACCAAATCTTAAATTTACTTTAAGGTTACTTTTTATTTAAAGTAAAATTGACACCTTTTTAAGAATGCACATTTAAGACACTCCATGTAACAGTATTTTGCCATTAAAGTTAAATAATCAGACATATTAGTTTATTAATGTTTGTGCTTCTGGCCGCCATCATCAATCTCCATATTTCATCCTCATATTTCATGCAGCAATTACAGCATTAGTTCCCTACGCAGACGGACTGTGAAACTCATACATGTGTGTGTTTTCATTTCTGAGACTAAATGAATGAGCGTCTGCTACCTGTACCACAGGCCCTCGGTGTCTCCAGGCATACTGAAGCGGGCCCTGTACTGAGAGAAATTACTGGAGAAACAAACACAGACAGAAAATCACAGAGTCAAAACCACAGCACAAAACAGAGTCCAGGACCTGCATTAAAACCTTCACTGCAGCCTTTACCAAATAATGAACATGACAATGAGTTGCTGACGTGATTGGCTGAGCTCACACACACAGCTCTGTGCCTCCCTCCAGTGGACAGAAGAGGAATCTGCTCAATAATCTGCGTTTACATTTCTATTCTGTCGGTTTTTCTGCATTCAATGATGTTTAGATACTTGCAAAACAACACAAGTCAGTCAAGTCAATCTTTTTGGCATATAAATAGAAAAGTGCAGAAGTGCACTCGTGTCTATTAATATTCAACACATTATTCCAAATATTCTGAAATGAACATACATGATTTAAATGTGCATTTCTGAACAATACATAATGATGTGAAGTGAATGAAAAATATTAATTAAACAACAATAAAGGAAAGATGGACAAAAATCAAGGGACATTTGATTAAAAAAATACAGACATGAAAATACAGACATAATGTAGAGACTGACTGAGGCAGACACTGATCATCTCATGGTGACCGTCAGCAGTTCCGGCACATCTGCTTAATCTGGTTCTTCTGCTTAATCTAGCTCCGCTTAATCTGCTTTAGATTAATCTAGCTCTGGTTAATCTAGGTCTGCTTGATCTGCTTGTGGCTAATCTGTTTCTGGTTAATCTGGTTCTGCTTAATTTGGTTCTTCTCAATCTGGTTCAGATTAATCTACTTTTGATTATTCTAGTTCTGCTTTATTTGTTTCCGGATAGTTTGCCTCAGATTAATCTGCTTCCGGTTAAGATTAATCTAGATTAATCCGGTTAATCTGGTTCTGCTTAATCTGCTTCCGGTTAATCTGGTTCTGCTTAATCTGCTTCCGGTTAATCTGGTTCTGCTTAATCTGCTTCCGGTTAATCTGGTTCTGCTTAATCTGCTTCCGGTTAATCTGGTTCTGTTTAATCTGCTTCCGGTTAATCTGGTTCTGTTTAATCTGCTTCCGGTTAATCTGGTTCTGTTTAATCTGCTTCCAGTTAATCTAGTTCTGCTTAATCTGCTTCCGGTTAATCTGGTTCTGGTTAATCTGCTTCCGGTAAATCTGGTTCTGGTTAATCTACTTCCGGTTAATCTAGTTCTGTTTAATCTGCTTCCGGTTAATCTGGTTCTGCTTAATCTGCTTCTGCTTAATCTAGTTCTGCTTAATCTGGTTCTGCTTAATCTGCTTCCGGTTAATCTAGTTCTGCTTAATCTGCTTCCGGTTAATCTGGTTCTGGTTAATCTGCATTTTCTTAATCTGCTTCTGCTTAATCTAGATCCACTTAATCTGCTTCCGGTTAATCTGCTTCTGGTTTAT